CTGGTGCGTCTTATACTCTGGTGCGTCTTATACTCCGAAAAACACGGTACTTCACACATACTGGTAGTCCTTGACTTGCAATCATTCGTTTAATGAGTGTTCAAAATAAAAATGGCATTGAAAAAATGACTTCTGATCATTTTCACACATACAACCATTACAGTCAGAGGTGGGATTCACTTCTTGTTACTATCGGTTCACCCAACATCAGAAATTTGAGCACGTGTCATCCGCATATGAGTGCAGTGTCACAAAACATGGCAATTCGCTTGCGCATACTGTCCAAGGATGCATTCGATGTCAAAAAACACAGTGATATAGGACGGGATTGCACCCGGGCAGGTGGGACACTACTGGTTCGCCAGAACCGGTCCAAATCAGCTGAATACCACCTCTGATTACAGTATCTCCATGGTCCCATGATCAAAATTTGGGTGCTTAACAATTAATGTATTTATGACTGTTGTACTGTCCTGGGGTCACGTAATCTCCTTTTGTGAACTTCCCAGCTGGGCTTCCGATAAGCAAAGCCAATGGGGAGAGCCAGAATCACATACGAACTACGTGATTCACTTAACAACTGTAGCAAAAGGTTGTAAAATGGTGCACAACTCATTTAGTGACAGAAACTTTGGGCTTAATTGTGGTCATGAGTCAAGGAGTACCTGTACTTTGAGGCCCCTTATAATTGCTTACAATTATACTTGCCTATTAATAGCATGCCGGGCGACATGGCTCTGTGTGCCACTTCGGGCACGCGTGCCACAGGTTCGCCATCAGGGATATAGGGTCTCCTGCTTGAGCAGGGGGTTGGACTAGCAGACCCCCAAGGTCCCTTCCAAACCTATTGTTCCATGTTCTGTCTTCTAAGGTAGTCATTAAGAATGTTACAGGACTTTGTAAGGATGTAACTTTTGTCTCTCCTAAACTCCGGGACCTCTGCAGGTATCTTTGCTACGAGAACCTGCCACGACCAAGACATCTTCACAGGATTCCACTGCTGACACAGAAGTCAAGATGCCTTTTCGAGTGGAAAATCAGGACCCGGAGAGGCCAGGTAAAAGAGAACCGTATTTTGCACTTTTTTCTGGGAGAAACTAGACAGACATTTGAGTGAAACCGTGTAGGGTCTCCTGCTTGAGCAGGGATTGCAGTAGAAGACCGCCAAGGTCCCTTCCAACTCTGTTATTCTGTAATATATACCATATTTTTCGGAGTGTAAGACACACCTTTTTCCCTCAAAAAAATGGGTGAAAATCTGGGTGCGTCTTATATACTGAATACAGCATTTTTTGCCTCCCAAAACCCCACCCCCTTCACTAAAATGGCCGTGCATAGCTTTTAGGAAGCTTTCAGAGAGCTCCTGGGGGCTAGAGAGGGCAGAAATGAGCAAACAATGGGTTGTTTTTTGCTCAATTACCCCCCCCCAAACCCCCAGGAGCACTCTACAAGCCTCCTAAAGGCTATTCACGCTCTTCTTTTTGAAAAAAACTGGCCCATTTTCACGAAAACTTTTTTTTTTTAATTTGCCTCTTCAAAACCTTGGTGCGTCTTATATTCTGGCATGTCTTATACTCCGAAAAACACAGTATATATCTGCCTTGTTTAGCAACAATAATGCTGGTTTCAACTGTGGTCATAAGTCAAGGATTACCTTCCAGATACATTAGATATCAATTATCCAAATTTGAAACAGTCTGATCAATCAACTTGTTCTAGAACAG